CCCTCCTTAAACCATGCAGGTAAACACCCACCAACTGTTTTATTAATGGGATTAATTCATCATTGCTGTCCCTTGAAAAACGTTGTGAATTGACTATGCAGTATAAATTAAATTGCTTTTCCAAAATGTATTGTACTGAATATCAATATCACTATGATTATAGTATAAAGTTGCTACTGTTTTTAATCTACTATTAATTGGTACAATAATAAATCACTTTCCTAAACTATCCACTGCAGATATGTGACTGAGCTCCTTGGGGGTGAGACTTATGTCTCGTGCTCTGTTGTGTTACCTGCTCTCCGCCACCTGACCCGCACCATGGAGGTCTCAGATGACGACCCAGCCTATGTGGTGAGGTTCAAGGCTGCCTTTAAAAAGGACCTGTCTCAACGCTAAGATGCACTCAACCATGGATGGCTCAGGGTGGCTACAGCACTCGACCCGCGCTTTAAGGTAACATGTGTAATGGTCTTCTTTGTTTTTCTCTTTTCTTGCTTTTTGACCTCCTTTCCCCTCCCCCCCCCCCCTCTTCTTCCCTCCCCCCTCTTTCTTTCTATGGAATAACAATATGATGGGAACCATGTACGAAAATGAATTTCACCCACCTTTTTACTCTGTAAATCTGTGATGTGACAATAAACCTGATTCTGATTCTGATTCTAAGGACCTAAAGTGTCTACCAAGAGGAGAGCGAGGAGGGGTGTGGACCAGCGTTGAGGCACTGCTGCAAAAAGAACCAGACAGAGCCACTCCAGTACCCACAGAGGACCCAGCAAGGAAGAGGAGCTTCCTGCTGTTTAATTCAGACTCTGAATCAGAGGATGAAGAAGGGCCCAACGGGGCTCTGAGCCGCTACAGGGCAGAGCCCACCATCAGTGAGACAGACTGCCCACTGCAGTGGTGGTCCACTCATGAGGGGGCCCATCCACAGCTTTCTGCCCTGGCCCGCAAGTATCTGGGCAGCCCTGCCACTTCTGTCCCTTGCGAGAGACTTTTCTCACTGGCAGGTAACATAGTTCAAAAGAAGAGGGCAGCCTTGAGCTCTGAAAATGTGAACAGGCTAGTTTGTCTCAGCAACTGGCTGAAAGAGAAGAAGCAGAATAAGTAGTCTTAGAGGTATCCTGAGGCCAATGGGCTTGTTACTGAAATGTTGATCAAACAGTGGCCTACGCAACAGAGATTTTATTTTTCATCAGGATATTGGAAGAATAGGAGGGATTGAGGTCAATCACTGGCACTTTTTTATTTTATTTTAAATGGTACACTTGATGTTGAACTATTTATTATGTTGTTGGTGCAACTGGCACTTTATGTTGAACTGTTTATTGTTTTGGCCAAGGTTATTGAGATAGTTGGACTGAAATTGATTAGATTTTTTAAATCAACAAAGTCTGTTATGGCCTCTGAAGCAAGAGAGATGTTTTCGAATAGTCAGGGTTTCCAATGTTCTAAATGTACTAGAAAGTATTGTGTTTTACTTAAAAAAGTACCACCTTGAAAAAAAATAAACAATGTTTTGTTGCTTAAGCTTATGTATTCAGTCATTATTCAATGGTATACTAAAATCCATGTGAAAATTGCTTCTCACTGTTCTCAGGTCAAATATGTATATTTGATTAAAAATGCGATTAATTTCGATTAATTAATTCCAAAGCCTCTAATTAATTAGATTAATTTTTTTAATCGAGTCCCGGCTCTAATTTACACACGTAAGGTCATCATCTTAATAGTTTTGTATGCTCATCCGTGAGCAGAGCATCAAGTTGACATGTCTATTGCCGCTGAATGCGGCGATTACCATTTTGTTCAGCAAAACGCCTCACAAACGTATTAAGATCAACAGCTTTAGTGCGTTTTGATTCAATGCTGAGTACAGCCAAACTGACAGTCTCTTCTCTGTCAGTGTAGACCTCAAATACCTCATTCCTTCAGTGCTTGGGTCCGAATGCTTCTCGTTTTGCGCCGTCCTGTTCAAATAAAATCGCCACCAATCATATGTCCACGCTCGCGCCAGGACCGGGGGAGGGGTTACATGACGTGCATCTTGTGCTGCATTCACTTGCACTCGGACATTAGAGACTTTCTCTCATAAATGTCCGATAAGCTACAACTTTTCTTTCAAAACAAAGCTGGGTGCAGACCCGGCGCCAGAACAAATCTAAAGGGAGGGCATATGATTTTCATGGGAGGGCACACAAAACCGTCACGTGCTGCGGGCCTGCGGCACAATATATATCAAACAGCAAGGCCAACAGCATTGCGTAAAGACGCACACTTATCGCAAACATACACAAATAAAGGGCAACATAGCAACCACTTTGAAACATTGTGTGCGTGGCAGCAAAAACACTGGTAAATCACGAGCAAGGTTGACAGCTAAAAAAGCTATAATATAAACGACAGCTGACACGTAATAACGGCTCCGTGCCAGCTGATCTGCACCAAAGTACTCATTTCCTTATTTGTTTCCTCGCGTATCTGTCTCTCTCTCCACAAACTCTCACATGAAATGTGTTCTTTTGATGCGGCATGCCTTAGCAGTCCTTTATCAGTCTGTAATGCGTGTTTCCAGTCGCAAAAACCTTTGACAGTAAAAGCCGCATCAGATGAAGACGTATTCACTTTAAACTGTCTAGACTACAGGGGAAACAAAAGGCTGCGTCTGCTTTTAACGAATATTCAAGCCATGGTCTGTTGTTGTACCACGCAGCGGCAAAAGTGCGCTTCTTTCCTGAAAACAATCTCCCTGGATAACGATCCAGCTTCACCTGCTTGGGTTTATTAACCCCAAGATCATCGCTAACTCAGCCCCGGGGTTTGCCGAGGTCAAGCTTGTGACATTAAGGCGTGCTGCTGCAACGGCAGGTGCAGGGTCGCCAGCAGCTGCATCGGCTGCAGTTATTTCATTGCTATTTCGTTTTAATAAATCCTTAGACCTTTGCAGCCAATTTCTGATGTCCATTTTGTAATGCAAACAGAAATGGGAGTCTACAGAATGCACAATAAACAAATCCAGAATAGGCAGCAGAGTGTGACGCTGTGATTGGTCTAAATGGGGACGAATCAGACACATGCATTTATTTGACGTAGCCTGTGATTTTTTTTTGTTTTGTTCTGACATCACATACATCGTAGCATAAAAGTTCACAGTTTATTTATAATTAAAAAAATAAAATATATATATTTTTTAATTTTTATAAATAATAAAAAACGTGTTTATTGGGGGAGGGCAGGAATGTCAAATGGGAGGGCCTGGCCCTCCCACGGCGCCGGGCATGGCTGGGTGGCAAGGCCTATTTTTAGGGTGTCAGTTGCCACCCCGGTCGGTGAAACTAGGCTACTAGCTACAGTACAGATGGAACTAGATGAGCTGTTAACTCTCGCTCTGAATCAGACAGGTTGAAAGAGACACAGACATGTTTCCCACCCGCATTCCGCGAAGACCCGCCCTACTGTGCCTCTGATTCGCAGATTGTTTGGGGGGAAAAAAGGCTGACGGGATGCTGAATGTGATTGGACCGATGCGTTGACAGACACACACAGACAGTGGAACAGGACATGCAGAGTGCTGTTTGCAGTCTATGGACATAGCGGATCATTTTGACTCGTTGCGTTGTGGCGATGTCTCGCAGATAACACAGATAATACATATGAAAAGTATAATTTGCTCAGAGTCCAGAGACAGTTGTGGTTCGGTCCGGATCCGGACCTGAGTCCGGACTTTGAGGATGCCTGATGTATGCTAACGCTACCGTGTATGCCAGGGATCACCAACTACATTTGTCCAAGGGCCAAAATGTATCCAATAGACACTATCGCGGGCTAGCGATTTTTATATAGCCCAGAATTTTGAAGTGGGGGGGGGGGGGGGGGGGGGGGGGGGTGCTAGTGGAGCACGCTCAGGTACTGTGGACCGCATAAAGCTTAGCAGACTCTTCACGCTAACGAAGGATCACTTCTAGGCAGGGTTGGGAGGGTTACTTTGTAAATGTAATCAGTTACTGAATACATGCTCTGAAAGTAATCAGAATACAGTTACAGTTACGTGTCTTAAAAATGTATTCAGATTACTTTTAGAATACTTTCTTTTTCCATAACAGATGGGTATGTTTTGGTGAACAGGAGACACTTATTTTACTGTTTTAATGGCTTATCAAGAACTCAAACACAACATCTTGGTGTCATTCTGGACAGCTCCCTCTCATCTGCACCACACATAAAAAACATCACCCAGACTGCATTCTTTGTACTGTCTTAAAACCTTTCCTTGGAATATGTTATGAATTGTAAGGTGTCCTTGGGTGCTTTGAAAGGCGCCCCTAAATAGAATGAATTATCATTATTATGTATTATCTGAAACGATGTAATAACTTTTAAAACTTTTTCCAGTCACTTGCCCCATGCATTCAGCAGCAGCAGGCCATTCACTTTGATTTGATCCCGTTATAAATGTCATCATCTCGACAATAAAGAAATGCTACATAAACGTTATCTTGCACATTTTATCGAACCATCTCCGTTTCTAACTTTCAATATATTTTAAAAGAGATCTCTCTCTCTCATCTGCGTGCGGGGGCGGGGCCTCATAGACACTCTGCATCTCTCTCTCGCTCACAGACATGCAGCGCTGTGCAGTGTGCACACAGTTCTGCCGGTAATGAATATTACATTTTGTGAGGAAACTTTTCCACCAATAATTCCAAAAAGTATTCCAAAATGTATTCACTTCAGGTTTACGAAAGTAACTGTAATCAGATTACTCGTTTTTCAAATGTAACGCCAGCTGAATACAGTTAGCCTACTTGATTTTTGTATTCTGATTACGTAACGCCGTTACATGTATTCCGTTACAACCCAACCCTGCTTCTAGGCTACTGTCCCGCAGCTCCTGCCTCTCTGTTGGACTCTGTCGCAGCGGGGCTACTGCTGTGGTGCGGAGCGCATTAACCAGACTCTTCACAACGAACGATCAATAGGCTACATGCACTAGGCTAGGGTCTGAGACGTACTTCCGCCTTAGCCGTTATACTGCTCGGACGCTTCCGGGTTGCTTCTGGTCTGCGTAGCTGAGCGTCCACAAATGTTTTACTGTTTAAATCTGTGGTTTAAATATGAGTCGACGGAAGATTTTCAAAACGGAGCATTTGCAAAGACAAGTGTAGAACTACTCCGAGCACTGCTGTGTCCCACTTTGTACGGCGTCAGCTAAATTCAACGGCGTCCTAAGTTTCCATGGCTTTCCGACCGAACTCGAGCTGCAAAGACAGTGGCTGGTTAAAATACGACGCGATAACTTTACAATCTCCTCTCACTCCAAGGTCTGCAGTCGTCACTTCGCTACGGATCTGCAGAAGCAACTGCAGGAGTTAAGAGTCCAGCGAGAGTTTTGCTTACAGCGGTTTGCTGGCTCCGACGACAACATCCGATTCTATACCAGGTAATGTTCTGGCTAAATTCTAAGTTTTTGAGATGGGTTAGCTTATAAAGAATCCTGTTTACCTGCCGTTTGACTGCTGACTATTTGCATGCAGTGTTGGAATAAGTAGGCTACTCAACTTAACTGAAGTATAAGTACAAATACTATGGTTTGAAAATACTCCTGAACTGAACATGTAGAATCATAAATCATGTGTTTTCATAAGTAACTAGAAACTATGAAGGTTAACTAAATGTGGTGGAGTAAAACATACTAATACTAACAACATACTGATAATACTTTACTACAAGTGGAAATCTTCAAAACCTTACCAAAGTAAAAGTACATGTCAATATCCACTGCGTTTCTCCCAGTTGCACACTTAAGAATGAAGAGTAAAAGTAGTCATTCTGTGTAAAATGTTCCCTGTATGTTTTAGATTATTATTACTGCTGCTTTAATGTAGTTGTTACATGTTACTGCTGTATATTACTATACCTGCACCAAGTGCCTTCTTAATCAGTCTATTTGAATTGTAATGTATTATAGCAAACAAGAGGAAAGCATTAGCCCATGTGTTACAATTAACAAGTCAATTAATGACTGACATGTGTCTTTTGTGTACAGATTCCCGAGCTATAACCACCTGATGGCCTTCTGGTTTTTGATTGAGGCTTCCATTTATAAAATGGTTCGTGTTACAAGAGACCCTATCAGCTGCCAAGAGGAATGAAGAAGTGGTTACACACGCACGTCCATCAACGGTAGGCTACGTTTATTTTAACACACAATCTAAACACAAACTGAAGGGAAAATGTTTCTCCAACATTTCATTGCTTTCGTGTAGGCTAAAAGGCTATAGTACTCAATCCTTTTTGAATACATCAGAGAACTAAAACAACTTAATGTTTTTCCCATGGTGTGCTACACTCATGACATTAATATAGTACCCTTTTTTTGTTTATCTTCCAGAGACAGCTGCTTCAGCCAATTGACGAGTTCTTCCTTTTTCTCTGCTTCCTGTAGGTGGGTTTGAAAAAGAGGGACCTTGCAAACCACTTCAACGTACACCAGTCCACTGTGAGCCGCATCATTGCAACATGGACGAGTTTTCTTACAACTTTATTGGGGTCACAGTGCATCTGGCTTACACCTGCAGAAGTTCAAGCCCATCTCCCAGAGGCATTCAAAGATTTCCCAGACACACAGGTGATCCTGGATTGCACAGAGCTGAGGTGTCAAACACCATCCTCACTCCTCCTTCAAAGTGAAATGTATTCTACATACAAATCTCACTGCACCATGAAAGCCCTGGTTGGCATAGCCCCACATGGCGCAGTGACATTTGTTTCCAGTCTGTATGGTGGTTCTGTCAGCGACAAGGAGATTTTCAAACAATCTGGAATAGCTGCGTTCTTGACTGAAAACATGGCAGTGATGGTAGATAAGGGCTTCCTGATCAGCGATTGCTGCAAATGCAAAGTGTACTGCCCACCTTTTCTGTCAAAGCAGAAGCAAATGCCAGCCTATCAGGTGAGGGAGACACAGGCCATTGCCAGACTGAGGGTTCATGTGGAGCGTGTCATTAGGAGGATAAAAGAGAACAAACTTTTTGATGGTATCATCCTCCTGTCCCATGCCTACAACATCAACCAACTGTTTGCAGTAGCATGTATGCTGTCAAACTATCAGAACAAAGCACTGGTCAAGAAATGGGTGAAATAAGACAAGATGATGACACCTGTGCAGGTAGCTGTGATTAAGCTGGGTGAGCACACCGTAATCCCGTGTTGCCTGACACACGCTAGTGTTTTGTTTGAATAAATGGTAAATAGCAAATTACAATGCGTTGATGATTTCTTACAAATGCAATGATTTACTATTCATTACACAAATCACTTCACTTTATTGTCTTTTTAAATACAATTGTATATTTATTTACATATATGAAATGTGACAAACAATATATATCAAAAACAAAATATTGAAATCACATTTTGTTGTCATTCAGAACACATGATTGAGGGATTGCCTCCTAAAAACAATGACGGCTGAGCCAGGGTCTAGCAGCTAACTGCTTACAGAGTTAACAATGGCTACAGTGCCCACTACTTTTTTAATGACAGGTACTTTGGCATGTATGTGTAAAAAAAAAAAAGTCTACTTTTTCTCTGATTGCTCTTTGCACTTCTGGATCTGTGTATATTCTTTGCACCAGGTAGTCCTCTTGTGCCCACACTACAAAATCACACCACTGCATCCCAGATACAAGAAGTTGACCCTGTACTTGCCAGTAATAGGCATGGCTTTTCTTGAGCTTAGGGGAGCCACATTCCATCTGCACATATTTGCAGTCGACATAATTTGGGACATTGGGACATTTGAATTCAACAAGGCCAAATTGGGGATATTCTGTTGTGTCAAAAACAACTCCATCAGGGGAGGCACCAAGCCAGGGCGTAGAGGGGTGAATGACAAGGCCACAAGGGAAGTAGTTCACGTTTGCCAGTCTACTGTATTCAGCTGTTACTGTGGGCTCCATCTCGGCACCTCTCCTCATTTCTGCAGTCTGCCTTGTACCTTTGAGTATTCGCTCTGTAAGAGAGTTAGCAGAGCTCTCACCTCTGACGTGACAAATCTCTCTAAACCTAGAGGCAGTAACCCTGGTTTTGCGGAGCAGATGCCACTCTGAGCTAGAGCTTTGCTCACGGGTAGCCTCCTCAATTTTGTGAGACATTTCCAAATCAACAGATAAGCTGTTCATATGTAGTTGCTCCTCTTCTGAGCACACCAGCGGTAAATCACATGGCAAGATCACATACCCCTCTATGGGCAAGTGGGGTGTTGGTGGTGTGTCAGTGTGAAGTGTGGTGTACCGAGACGTCAAAGCAGGCATCTGATAGGACAGAACACTGCCCTCCTGCACAATCCCGAAGGCACTTTCCACAAGGGGCTTGTCAGGTCTCATGTTCATTGTGGTCACAAGCGGCCTGTCTTCAATGCTGAATGCTGAGTATGCCTCCGTAACTCTGAACAGGCAGGGATCTGGTAATGGCCCCACCATGCCTCTGTAGAATCCACTCCTACAAAGAATGGCAAAGACAATATAGCACATTAATGTGACAATAAAGGTTAGGAATACAGCACCAGAATTATGAATTTTAAAAACACAGGAAACACAATTTTCCAGCTAAAATTACCTTACTCCAGTCTGCACCATCCTATTTGGTACAGGCTTGGTGAAGACCATGGAGTTGATGGGCCCTGGCTTCACACCCTTAAGGAAAAGACAATTACTGTTCGTTGAGTCACTTTAAAACAAAAACTCTGTGAAAGATTACAAGTATTTGAACCTCATTGAAATTACCATTGTTCACGGCTTGTGCCATTGCTGTTCCGATTCAGTACAGCTATGCACAGGTGGCACAACTAGCATGTTCAGTTCAGTTCAGTGTAGTGTGCTGTTTGGAACAGCAATGCTACTGTGTGATTGCACAAAACAGTTCCTGCAACACAGGAGCACTGGTTGTGCGTGAGCACCACTGGTGATGAATCACGAAGCGTTATCTAAAAAAGAGAGAAGAAATACTAGTGATTAGTAACCTCACTTGTTACTATGAGCCAGGAGGTTATTATGAGTAGAATTATTGGTTATTTTTACTGACCCATTATCCTAGAAGAAGCATGTATTCCTGAATGCTTAGTGTTACCCTCTTACCCTACAATACCACAATGAACTTTCTTTGGAAACTAAGATGCCTTGAAAATTGTATTAAAGCAGTTTTGACTATATATTTGAACCCCCAAACTTACACATCCATAATCAATGTAATAATATCTGACCAATCAGCTGTGATAAAGCAGGGAGAAGTAGGACACTGTTGAGATTCCCTTAAGGTAAACTAATGTTTAACTGAACTGAAACTCAATAAACAGGGGGGAACAGTGTCAATGCTGCCTGCCTACACTCAAACTGTGTGCTGTCTCGCTCTTCCGCATTGACCTGTAGCACAAGGCTTTCACGCTGACCTGCCCTGTCAGCCTGTCTTTATTGGACACTGAATGAAGAAAAACAGAGCAACAGCGTTAGATCTATACTCACGTCAAAACATTTATGGCAACATTGCTTTACAAAAGCTGATACCATTATGCAGTGTGGCTAACAACAAGACAACCTTGGCTAGGCTATAAGGCTATTAAACGATAGTATTTGTTAGCAAAATGGCTAATGTTTTAAAGAATTAACACCAGAAACAGTACATAGCATTACCCAGAGCCCTATAGTAGTCTACTATAGTAGTAGTATAATAATAGGCGCTTTCACACTGCGGTACTTTTCCCACAAAGGTTCATGTGAACTTAGTTCATGTGAACTCTTTTATCGTGTTCACACCAAAAAGAGCCGGTACTAAAATTAGTTCATGTGAACCTTTTTACCCCCTCGAAAGTCCCTGCTAGAGAGCAGGGACTTTCGAGCGGCTCTTTTGTGAGAAAAGAGCTATATTTCTGATTGGCTGGAAGGATTGCAAACCACGCCCCGCAAAACTCCCAAAAAGTTTTGTGAAGCCGCCATTTTATTATCCTCGCATTAGCATTATTAGCATTAGCATTAGCCCAGCGTAGAAATGCAGAGAGACTAACTTATGGCAACACAAAATAAAACATGGGAGCGGTGGAGATGAGGAGGTGTCGGCGTTCTGGCGATTTACTCGGAAGGCTTCAGTAGAAGCTGCTGGGAGTCCCAGCAGCTTCTACTGAAGCCAGTCCCTAACTCCGGGGACTTCCAGCCGGGGACTCCGGGTGGCAGTATACGCCGTGAAGTGGTTTGTGGCCTGCCAGTAAACCCAAAACAGAAGAAGAACAAGTGACGTCAGCGGCTTCATTTGCCTAATCCTTCCCCAGGGACTTTTTACAGTGTGAACGCGATCTGTACTTAGTTCATGCGAACTAAAGAGTTCACATGAACTAAGTTCACATGAACCTTTGTGGGAAAAGTACCGCAGTGTGAAAGCGCCTAATAATAATAATAATAGTTATACTATAGGGCTCTGGCGTTACCTAGCTTTTGACAGCTAATGTTAGCGTAACCCGGAGCATAAGCTAGCTGGTTAGTACCGGTTACCTTCTTACCTTCATAGTTGTGTATATATGACGCAGCATATAATTTGAAGCCTTTATCGAGTTTGCTGGCTGGGGCTTTAGTCGTCCGGCAAATCCGATGAACATCTGACATTTTTAATTTCGCAAGCTCTTGTAGGCAGCGGGTGTAGAAGGTCGTCATTTTCAAACAGGAAATGAATCGGCCGCTATGAGTAGAATGCGGAAGTGACTGTGCATGTAGCCTATTGCTTCCACAAACCAGTGGGAGAGCCGTTGCTTAGTAACAGGCTTGCCCTTATAAGGGTTAGCCCAGGACACAAGGGGTTGGTCATTATGACGAAGCACCCTTGATCTGTCCCTGTACGTGCGTAAAGCACGGGCTGGACACGGCAAATCCAGCCGCTGTTCCCCGGAGGAATACAGTGGCGGGGAGGATGCCTCAATGTCAAATGTGGTACCTGAACCAACCGCCTTAAGATAAAGGTAGGGTTGGGCTTCAACCACACTCTGTTTGCCCTGGGGCGAACTGAGTGCATGAAGACTGTACAGATAGCGCATGAGTGCCACTGGCTCGCTTGGCAGCTGCCAGGGTCAACTTCATGTCACAATGTATTCAGATTGTACCACTCACGGGCCAGGCCCATAGAGCCAAGCGCTCTGGGTGTGGGTGAAAGATTGCCCCCCCCGCTTGGGACAGTATGTCCCTGCGTAGTGGGAGCTGCCATGGCTGCCCGCACAGCAGCTGATATATCTCCGCTGGCCAGTACAACGCTGGCCAGTGCGGAGCTATCAGGATAAGTGTGTGGCGTTGCTCTCTCACTCTGGCCAGAGTTGGGGGTATCGGAGCCAGGGGTGGGAACGCGTACAGAAGGCCCGGGGGCCAATCGTGCGCGAGTGCATCCACGCCTAACGGTGCATTTAGATCGCGCATCGAAAAGAACAGCTGACACTGAGCGTTGTCTTTCGATGCGAACAGATCCACCGCGGCTCTGCCGTAACGCACCCACAGCTGGCTCACAATCCTTGGATGTAGAGTCCAGTCTGCATAAAGTGGTATACCTCTGGACAGTAGATCTGCCCCGAGGTTCATCACTCCCGGTACCTGCGTCGCTCTCAGAGAGAGGAGACGTCTACCGCTCCATAGGATCAGTTTGCGCGCAAGTGTGTGTAACTGGAGAGAACGCAAACCCCCTTGGCGGTTAATATACGATATTGTGGTCGTATTGTCTGTCCTCACGAGGACGTGATGTCCCCTGAGGAAAGGCAGAAAGCGTTTTAGGGTGAGAAACACCGCTAAAAGCTCCAGGTAATTTATGTGCGCCCGCTGGAGGTCTCTGCTCCAGAGACCCCTCACCGGGCGACCTTCATAAATACCTCCCCAACCTGTCAGACATGCGTCCGTGGTGACCACTTTCCATGAAAGGACAGCACCCATAGGCACACCTCGTACTAGAAAAGTCGGGTGCAGCCAGTGGCGCAGTGCCATTACGCATTTCACAGTAACCATCACTTTAGGTTTAGTTTTAGGGGGCCACCCAGCGCTGAAACTCCCTCAGCGCTGAAACTCCCTCATGTGTAAGCGTCCCAGTCGTACGACCAAGATGGCTGATGCCATGAGCCCCAGCAATCGCAGGCATGATCTGAAGAGAACATGGAAAAGAGCGAGACAAGCTCTGAAAGCTTTCACTCTTTCCGCTGACAAGCGAGCTGAAAAGGGCACCGAGTTCAGGCGTAAACCCAGG